CCTCCAAACCATTCCAGTATCACATCTTTACCCTGGGAAGTAAATTTCCCCATTATTTGTGTGTGTGTGTGTGTGTGTGTGTGTGCATCCAAAAGCCATATGAAATCCAAATGTCAACTCCACTAACCTTGCAAGAGAAACATAAAGATCAAGATTCGTTGTCTATCAAGTGAAGCTAGAAAAAAAGGGGTGCCTCACCAGCGTGGCTCAGTGGTTGAGCATCAACCTATGAACCAGGAGGTCACGGTTCGATTCCCGGTCAAGGGCACATGCCCCGGGCTGCGGGCTCGATCCCCAGTGTGGGGTGTGCAGGAGGCAGCCGATCCATGATTCTCTCTCATCGTTGATGTTTCTATCTCTCCTCCCCTTCCTCTCAGAAATCAATAAAAATATATTTTTTTAAAAAGAAGGAGAAAGGGGCTACTGTGGTCCTGGTGTCTTCAAGCTTCAGCGGCCTAGGTTTAGTCTGACAGCCACACCAGCTGCACAGCCCAGGGATTTGTGCTGCTGGTGTCTGACTTGCCACAACCCCCGGCACAGGTTCAAGGTGACCAACAAGGAAACATCCATTTCTCTCCCTCTTTCCCTCCTGCCTCATAAACGCACCCTCTCACTTCCTTTCCTTTCCTTGGACTTTACAGACCCATCACTGCCCATGTCCGAGCATGCTTCGTCATTTGTCTCGACCCCACGCTTCCCCGGGGTGTGCAGCATCAGAGGGAGGTCCAGCCACCATCCCTTCTCCCCTACAGACACTCTTGTTGGACTTTATATTATAGGAATCATGACTTTTTTTGCCTTGATCAATTATGACTCTGCTCGACATAAATTCAGTAAGTGGATGGGGAAAATCTGCCAAGTGGTTTGGATATCACGGAACGGGAACCTCTCTGTATAAATGTTTGTAACGATTCTATTAGGCAAAGACACTTTAGGGCATGTTTTATTGGCCCATTAATACCTGAGTGGAGTGGTAAAGATATCTGGCTCCAAGCCCTGTTGCATGCAAGCAAGAAAGATGTGGGTTAATGGAGCAATTAAACATCCTTTCACATCCCAGGGCTGGAGTGAGGTTGGGAAAAGGTAAGGGGACTACTATAATAGTAAGACGACTATAAACACAGCGAAAGAACTAGAAGCTTCTGTGTGAGCCACAGGAAGACCTACGACAGCCGCCATACAGCTGGGACTTTGTAGGGCACCAGAATGGCTGTCTTTACATGCTTTCTTGTCAAAAGAGCGGTTGTGCTTTACGGAGGGGAAGGGGCCGTGCAGTGAGGAGGCCCGCCATGGGCAGCATGAGGTCAGAGGGTGGCAGAGCGGCAGACGGCATGCTGAGAAATGCCAGCAGTTGTCTGATTACCAGATGTTGACATGACAGGACTGTTGTGAGGATTCAGAAGATGTGAGGGGTTGCAAAGAGAGGCCAAGTGCTGCCCTAGCTGGTTTGCTCAGTGGACAGAGCATCAGCCTGCAGACTGAAGGGTCCCGGGTTTGATTCCAGTCAAGGGCACATGCCCAGGTTGGGGGCTCGATCCCCAGTAGGGGGCATGCAGGAGGCAGGCAGTCTATGATTCTCTCTCATCATGGATGTTTCTATCTCTCTCTCTCCCTCTCCCTTACTCTCTGAAATCAATTATTTACATATATATATATATATATATATATATATATATATATATATATATATTAAAAAGAGAGAGAGCCCTAACCAGTTTGGCTCAGTGGATAGAGCGTCAGCCAGCGGACTGAAGGGTCCCAGGTTCGATTCTGGTCAAGGGCACATGGCCGGGTTGCGGGCTCGATCCCCAGTTGGGGCATGTAGGAGGCAGCCAATCAATGATTCTGTCTCATCATTGCTGTGAATCCCAGCCAATTGAAGAAAGCAAGGCCACTCTTGTGAGGGAAACGTATTGATGACTGGGACCCAGTTCATTCCATGGTTCTGGGTTCTTCTTTCTGTGTCAACAGACGTGTGGATTGAACAATGTCAGGCCCGAGACACTCGGCACCACTCCATCCAGTACCTCTGGCCCCAATAAACACACGGAGGGGCGTCAGGCTTGGCCTGACTGAGGATCTGGGGGAGCATGGAGACAGCAGAAGACCCAGAAGCAGAGAAAAATGCTGCACAGACCTGTGCTCCCTGCCTCACCCTTAAACCCAGTCATCCTCCAGGACTAAGCCCGAGTTCTAAACAGCAAAGCCCAGCTGCCGCCCGGAATGACCTTGACTTCTCCTCTAAGTCACTTCCTCATCACTTCTTTCTAAAACTCATGGAGACAGCCTCCTCCGTCACCCCTCTGCTTCCCGTCGCTTCCTCTTAAGCCACACTTCTCATAACAACTGCCATTCCATTCTTTTTGTTTTGTTTCTTGGTAATCCTCACCCGAGGTTATTTTTCCATGATTATTATTTTTTTTTTTTTGAGAGAGAGAGAGTGGAAGGGAGGGGAAGAGACAGAGAGAAGCATGGATGAGAGAGAGACACATCGATTGGTTACCTCCCACAGACACCCCACTGACTGGGTCCGGGGATGGAGCCTGCCACCGAGGTGCGTGCCCTTGACTGGAATCGAACCCGGGACCCTTCAGTCCGCAGGCCGAGGCTCTACCCACTGAGCAACACCGGCCAGGGCTGCCATTTCACTCTGTCAAGGAAAACCTTCTATGATGCTTTATGAACCACAAGGTGAAATGCAACCCCTGATGCCACAAACTCCTGAGAAATCTGCCCTTGCCCGTCTTGTTGGCCAACATCTACATTTACCTCCTGCTCCGATCATGTGGAAGGGCGGTCAGTGCTCCCAGCCACCAGGCTGCAAATTGCCAGCGTCGTCTTCCCATCCCCCCCTCCCGCTGGAGAGCTGGTCCTCACCGTTTCCTGGATCCTCTCCCTGTCCAAGCTGTGTCCCTCACCACCTCAACCACACCACCCGCCCCCATTGGGTGCAGACCATTTCCTGTGCTCCCAGAGCATCGTGGCTTCATCTAAATGACCCTCTCATTACTTATTTATGTCATAACCAGTTTTCCCAGAAGGACTTAATTTATTTCCATTCCTACATCTTATGCGTCTCAGGTACTATTACCAGTTATTCCTCTAAATGTTCCTTTGCATCAAGTACCCTCATTTTTAAGAGTATCATTGAGATTAGGAAACTGAGACTTAAAAGAGATTAATTGAATAACCAGTTATTAATTGGGAGATATGGGATTTCAACGCACCTGTGTAACTAGATAGGGCCTCCGCTGTTAATCACCTCCGTGGCCAACGTGCCCTCCTTTCTGATCCCCCCCCCCCCGAAATTATGTGTTCATCTTAGTGCCCTTCAGAATAGGACCTAACACAGCTGACATTCAACAAACCTGTGTCCAATGAATACATGAATCCTGACATCCAATACAATTTCTTTTCCACTGTACCATTTACTGGCCCTTAAAGTAACAGCAGGGAGAAAAAAAAAAAAATACCTCTTTAAGTCTGAACAATTCTGAAAATTCATGTTCTCCAGTTCAATCAGTTTCACATAAAGACATTTTATTCCCCAATAAGCCTGTTCGTTCCTTTTAAGAGTGAAGGCCCATGTGTGCTGAAATGCTCTATCTTTTCCTTCAGGTCCTCCAATTCCAGGAGAGTTTGTTTAACTTATTAATTATGGCCATTTAAAAGTCTTTGGCTACTAATTCCAAAATCTGGATCGTTTCTTGGGCTCTACTGACTGTTCTCTCTCTCTCTCTGGTCAAAATCCCCTCCCCCCAAATTTATTTATTTGTTTGTTTGCTTCTTTGCCCCTGCTAAGTTTTTCTTGCAGGCTGTAATTGTAGAGGTTCCAGTTTCTGTGTCTTTCTCCGACGAATTCTGAGTGGTGCTGCAGCCAGTGGGCAGATCACTGGGGATCTATCGCCTTCATCCTCCAAAGGCCTAGTTTTGGTTCCCCTTAGGCCAAATCTATTTCGGTTTTATTCTTTCTGCGGGGGCTTCCTTCTTACCTCTAGAAAGCAGCCTCGGGGGCGCGGAACGCAAACGCCCGAGTTGTTTACCAAGGTCTGGCCACTGTGTCCGGGCCCCAAGTTCAATATCCTCCCAGAAATGTGTGATTCTCTAGAATCTCTGCTCGGTTTTCCAGCGCTGGCCACCGCACTCTTTCAGAGCCTCCAGAGTCCTGCCTCTGGGCGCACGCAGCCTAGGAATTCAGCCAAGGATTCGGGGGGCTTTCTGCACGTTGGGATCTTTCTCTTAGCTGGCAACAGTAGAGTAAGAAATTTATTTTTCCCTTCCCAGCCCTTGCCCTCCCTCCCTCACTGGTCCTTCTTGCGTTATAGGTGAAATAGAAAAGCCTCTATTTTCTTATCCAAATAGTGTGTGTGTGTGTGTGTGTGTGTGTGTGTGTGTGTGTGTGTGTGTGTGTGTGTATGCGCGCGCATGCCTGTATTTTCCACGCAAGCTCCCTCGTTGACTCCTGAGGTGTAAACTTCCAGGAGAGGAAACGCCAAGTCTCCACGTTGTGCTGCATGAAGACTCACCATGTGTCAAGCCATCAATGCACCAGGCAGCTCTCTGGGGAAGCTTTCCAACCGAGCTCTACATGGCAGCCGAGCGGGGTGCTCCTTCACCCTTAAGTGGTCCCCAAGACCCGACTTCCTTGCAACCCTGGGAAGCAGCACAAGCAAATCAATTCAGCAGAACCTCACCGCACAGCCAACTGACCCGCCCACCCGCCTAGCCCTGCAGCGCGGGGCGCACGTGGGGACGCGGGTGGCGGAGCTGCGCGGGGGAGTCCCCCGACTTCAGCGAGCCCAGCAGGTGCCCCGCAGCCGGAGCCCCAGGCCCTCGGGGTGCGGGACGCCCCGGGAGCCGCCGCGGGGCCAGGCGCAGCGCCAGCGGCACCTGGGCGCCTGGGCATGCGCAGAGCGGGTCTGGGGCTCGGGCGGCCGAGCCTGGCGGCGCCGGGGGGAGCGGGAGGAGGAGGAGGAGGAGGAGGAGGGGGAGGAGGAGGAGCGCAAAGCCGGGAGGAGGCGCGCAGGCAGCAGCCGCCACCGCCACCACCAGGCAGAGGGAGAGTTCGCGAGGAGAGACCCTGCTCCCACTTGGAGCGCCTTGGTCGGCTTTTGGAGACAGAGAATGCGAGACCCGGGAGGAGCCGGGAAGAAGAAGAAGAAGGAAAAGGACGTGAGGGGAGCCTGAGCGGCCCGGGGCGTGGACGGAGGGCGCCGGCGGGGCAGGGAGCCCGAGGCACCCGGCGCGGCCGGAGCGCGGCCCGGGTGGCAGGTGCCGCGGGCGCAGCGCCCTCGCACCCCGCGCGCCTCGCGGAGCTGGAGCGCACGCCGCGGCCGGTCGGGGCCGCCCGGAGCCCCCGCTCCTCGTCGGTTCGCCGGGCGGCGGCGCCTCGGGAAGGACGGGCGATGGACCGCAGGGCGGCTCCCGGCGCGGGCGCGCGTTCCTAGGGCGCTGCTCCCTGGCGCCGAGCGGGAGGCGGCGAGGGACCGCGGGCCCTGCGCCCCCCGCGCACCGGAGGCGCGACGCCGGCGGGGACCGCACGCGGAGGAGCCCCGCGCCCAGGTGAGGACGCCCGCACCGCTCGCCTGGTCTCCCTCGCCGATCGCCTGCGGGAGGAGGAAAAGTTTTCAGCTCAGGTAGGAAATGGCTTCGCTGGGAGGGTTTGAAGTGGGTTCTGGAGACGGAGGAGGGAGCCGGTCTGTGCATTTGGGGGTGGGGGTGGCGGGGGCCTTGAACCTGGAGAGAGCGCGGTCTGGAGCGGAGTGCGGCTCCCGGAATGAGGGTGGGGTTGCGGGGTGCCACCGGCTGCCAGAAAAGGCCGGGGAAGGGGGGCAGCGGCGGCCAGGGGGGCAGCCCGGGACGTGCCCCCCCCCGCGCCCCCTCCGCGCTCGGATTCCTTCGCCCCGATGGTCGGGTCCGAGGCACCAAGTGCGCGGACGGGAGGAGCCGCTGGGCAGGGTGTGCGTGGCGCGCGCGCGGGTCCGCGTTTGGTTTCCCGGCGCTTTGGAGAAGCTCAGGCAGACACCCACCCGCCGACCTTGCTTCGCGGTGGGCGCTGGTTCGAGGGCGTTTTCAGGCGCCAAGAGGCGAACCGGGCGCCGAGGGTCGCACCTGCCCAAGGTCCGCGGCCGCCGCGCGCCGTCCTCCCCCGGAGCGTCCACGCCCGCCACGCGGCGGCGGGTGGATGGCGCGGGGTCTGCTGGCCGCCGCGCAGCTGCCTCCCAGCTGGGCTGTCTTGTGCGTGTTTCACGCGGCGGATCGGGGGGAGGAGGGGGCGCGGGGGTGGGGGACCCCAGGGGAATTCGTCCCTCTGCCTCGCTCGGTTGGGTGGCGATCCTTTGGATCGCACGCAGGTGGGAAGCGGCCCAGGAGCCCCAGCCCCGCATCCATATGGACGGGTTTGGGGAATGCAGGCGCTCCTTTGCCTGCCAGCGCTTGAACCTGACCGCGTCCGCATTTGCGATGCGAGAAAGAATGGCTCAGCCCAGCCCGCGGCCGCCTCTAGGAGGGTTTGTGCTGTGGAGGGCAATTGGCAATCGATGGTCGTTGCACGGAATGCTTCGCCCAGACCTTCCCTTTCTCTCCCGGCCTCTGGGTGCCCAGCACACAGATAGCCTGCTCCCCGTGTTGGGTCTTTCACGGTTCCTATTAGAAAAATAACCTTTCTTAAATTAAAAAATTTTTTTAAAAATAGTGCATCTGTTGATTACGTAGTCCCAAATAATTTTATAGCGTGAGTCACGGTGCGGCGTGAAGCATTCATCACGATTTCCTGTGTTTAAAACAATGCCTTGTATTTACTTAAGCGAGAGACCCAGCCTGAGACTGTGCACTTGGGAAAGGCGAGAGCTGTGCCCAGAACAAATGCATGCGTCCAGGGGAGTCGGGGGGGAAGGAGCATATGAAATTCAAAACGGGGGTGTCGGGGTGTGGGGGGGTGGCTTTTGGTTCCACACGTGTGGCCTGCGTGCACCCTCTTGCCATGGGAGCTGGTATTGCCCAGGGTACATAGAACATGCCTGCCTCTTTGGGGTGCGTTCCACATGCCAGGGAACGTGGTTGGGATCACCCATTTCGTTTCCCCAAAGAACCTGCCTTCAGATGTGTTGACAGGGTCCCTCTCCATCCGCTAAGTATACACTTCGCTATTGTTGAGGTCGAAAGCGCCTTCGTTTTGAAATGGGTTTCCATATGGAACTGTAACTTCGGTTTAAATTATTCATTTAAAATGAATTGCGTCGCAGGTCTGGTTCAGACTGTTTCTGCGGGCTGGGGTGTGGGGGAGGGTGACCTCAGATTGAATTTAAGGTGGAAACAGCCGTGTTGAAATACTCAAAAACAGCAACGAATCTTTATTCAGGTGAACTTGATCTCTGAAAAGCGGCGTTTGAAACACAGATATCTTTGACGAGGCACGCCTTGTGCATGGGAAGTTATTGTAAAAGATCAGTGTAATTTGGGACAAGGGGAAGCATGTAAGTGGAACTGGTCAAGACTCAGAGAAAGATTGAGAGTGTTTACACAAGTAGTTCTTCATTAGCCTACATCTAAACTTCATTCTGAACCTTCCCTTTACAGTTTAGAGAAATGTGTGACGATACAGTGCCTCGTTTTTCTTCCTGTGAAAACAAGTAAAATTCCATTCAAAATGATTATTTTTTTTTTCTTAAGAGTCTTTAGGCATACTTACTTAAAGATTATTTACCTTGCACCCTCTCGTTCCCTTAGAAAGACACGCAATTTCTTTTCTGACCCAAAATTTGTTGTTTGAAGGTTCAGTTTAAAAACGTGAGTTTCTTTGTGGGCTGTTTTGGCTCTTAATTGCATGCAACCTGTTGACAATTGAGCCTGGAAGGTTGTTCAAGAATGAGGGTATCTTGGGCAGTCAATTGAACAGGCAGAAAATGAAGCAACATGACTAAAGCTACTTGTGGATGCGAAAATTACAACGCAGTCGTCTTCAGATTTTTATCTAGAAGGTCCTGTATCATTTCCTGAGCCAACGTTTTGCTGTGGCCTCGTAAAGCTGAGACCATTGGCGGGATGAGTTTCTCACTCCTAAATGGCCTGCATGTGTTCGGGGTCACGGGGAGACCGGGTCTTGTTTGCGGGCAGGGCAGTGCGTCTTGAGAACAGCTGTGTGCGGTGGCATTTCGGCTGTGACACGGATGAACTGCCCGGCCCATGGAGACGGGGCCTGGTCCCTGGAGAGACGCAGCTGTCCTTCGTTTAAGGAACCTAATTTTCTGTCATCATAGATTATTGTCCTCACGTTGTGCTTTGGAAGTGTCCGTGAGTAATGGGATGTGTTTTATTTTATGTGACATGTTTCTGCACGTGAAATGCATTTTTTCCTCGCAGAGGGATATTAAAAAGGCCTATATGGCTCCAATAAAAGTAATCAGATGCCTCCAGCACGGGTGGCTCTTTTGGAAAAGCAGTCAGCGTGCTGGAATGTGCCTCCTGCTTAGCCCTGAACGCCCCAGGCTTTTCCTGGGGGCGGCGGCGGGGGCGGAGGGCGCTCACGGGTCTGTCACCTGTCAGTCCCAGTGGGCCCAGTGGGACCCTTGTCTAGTTCTTAGTCTGCCTAGAACTCAGGGATGGAATTTCAACTTCAATGGGAAGCTTCCATTTTAGGGGGAAATGAGAAGAGATTATGTAATGGATTTGCCAGGAGGCATCGCCAGTCACACCGGAAGTTAGCTTCTCGTCTCTGGCAGCCTGTCTTCTCCTTTGAGGATGAGGCCCTTGTTCAGATCCATTCAGAGCAGCACCTTGGAACCCCAGCTCAGCCCCCGCAGAAAGGACTTGCCGTGCCAAAGGTGCCCCTTTCAGCTGTAACCCAGCCTGGGGCGGGGTGGGGCGGGATGGAGGGGGTTCTGCCCGGCCTCTCTGATCCCTGAAAGTTGCATATCCTGGGCACTGCCCGTGTGTGTGCGCAGTGTCTCCAAACAGAAAAGAAGACGATGTCCTTGGTCGAAGCGCAATGGGCCTTCGTCTTTCCCGGCGTCCGGTGCAGGCGACAGCGGTGCCCGGCCCACCCGGAGCGGTTTTGAGGGTTGAAAGGCATCATGCACGTGGGGGTGCTTTTCTGGACGCCCTCCGAAGCGCCGTGACATGCAGGACACCCACCTTACTGTTCCCCGACCTGCGGGTGGCCCCGGGGCTCAGGAGTTGGCAGCCCTGCCCTCCTTTTTGCCCAGACGTCTGGCAGCTCGTGGACTCCCCGGCTCCTGGCAGGCTCGCCCGCAGGCTGGCGATGTGTTCTCCCACCTGTGGCATCTCCCTGCCCACAGGCGCCTCAGGCCGAGCGTCCTGGCTGGGGAGCACCTTCCTAGACAGGTCCCCGGAGGCCGCCGCTGCAGCTCGCCACGGCGCCACAGCCCGGGACCCGCTGGGTGATGGCAGGAGGACCATCTGAGCTGCTGCCATCTTCCTCCCACCAACTGTGCCAGCCCGTCCTGAGCCAGGAGGACATGAGCACTTCGAGAAGAAACGTGGTGGTAAAAACAACCGCACACTGACCGGCCGGCGTGGCTCCGTGGGGGGGCGTCCACCTAGGAACCAGGAGGTTGCGGTTCAATTCCCGGTCAGGGCACATGCGAGGGTTGTGGGCTCCATCCCCAGTGTGGGGCGTGCAGGAGGCAGCCGATCCATGATTCTCTCTCATCATGGATGTATTTCTCTCTCTCTCTCCCTTCCTCTCTGAAATCAATAAAAATATATATTTAAAAACAAATGAAAAACACCTGCGTACTATTAGGCCAACAGTAGCTGGCAGGTGCCTGTGGGCTCTGAGGTCCCCGGACGCCTTCCCAGCCCGGCTCTGCGTGAGACTCAGGCCCCACTTCCGACTGTTCCGTTTGAGGTCTCCCCGGAGAAGGGAGTCTGAGATGGTTGACTGCCCTTCCCCTGGTCAGTGTAGAAATTCCCATGCCCATAAGCCTCCGTTTCTCTCACTTGTGTCATATTTGCCATTTCAGCGCCCTAGGCTGCTCTCTTGTGTTTGCAATTTGCATTCTTAGTGCTAACGTCTTGCCTGGCAAGACGTTCGCTATGACCTTGACAGTTAACCTCATCCTTGCCAAGAACTTCTCTCCGGGAGCCGGTCTTCACCAGCGTAGACACCCTCCCCGACAGGGCGTCCCTGCGGCCTGGAGACGTGGCCGCCAAGTTCCACTTGACAAATAAAATCTCCTTGTGTGTCATTGTTGGCAGGATCAAATCTCAGCTCCGCACACTCCTCCCGGCCGCTGTAATTGGAGTTGCTGACTGTCAGCGACAGAATTAATCCTTCGTGCGGGTCATTGTTCTAGCCCGGCCCTGGCTTATTTCCTGTGCCCCGTGTTCCCGTGAAACCCAGCACAGCAGCTGAGCGGTGACAGCTGCTGCCTGTCAGTCACCTCTGCTGCGGGGGACGGTGCTGTGCGGGCATCCTGGGTCGGGCAGGGTGCCCTCAGATAGCACTCAGGTGAGCTTACACCCCAGGTGACACCTGCCTGTGTCAAAGAGGATGGGGCCACCGGAAGTCCCCTGCAGGGGACCGTGCGTGGATGGGGGTGCGGCGCCTTCTAATGTATCCCTGGCAGCTAGAGCCACGGACTTAGATTCTTGCAAAAAGCCCCTGCCAGGAAGC